ATTATCTATAGTAATATCAGCATAGTAACGATTGTTTGCTTTTAGCCAATATAGTGCCCGGGAAATTTTAGCACGCCGAACATTGAAATCCCTGAAAGAAGTTAAATCTCCAGACTGACGACACACAATCAGTATATCTAATGAAGATGGATGCCGAGGAAGGCGAGTAGTAAACTCTCGTACGTCCTGGAGAAAATTTATAACATTACCACGATACCCTAGTTGTCCTCCGCGAAGTCTATATACAGACATTACTGGAAAAACTTGTGCTATAAGCATCTCTTCAATTTTGGTAAGACCTTTAAGTTCTTCGTGCATATCACCAGGGTCCATATTATTTTCTGCTGAGAATTTTTTTGGCGTACTTTTCTCATTGTAACAACGCCTGCATTTGCCTTTAACTAACACTATTGACGGAAAGCACTCATTACATACAGGACAAAAAGTGTGTTTAAGATTATCCATTTTAGTGCGAAACTTTTTTAATAGATCACGATCTATTTCAGTAAGTTCAGCAGAGGAAACTGCTTCAATATTTGTAGTGTTAATGTCAGTTTGATGATGACTACAATTCCCCTGAGTGTCTATAATTGGATCCAGTTCTTCAATTATTCGTGACAGATTTTGTTGTTTAATTTGTTCACGAAAATGACGCTGATAATTTAGACGTTCTTCATATTGCTCATTAGTTTCCATTTCTCTCTCGTTCTGTTTTCTATCGCGTTCACGTGACATATGCACTTCGCGCTCTTCACTGGTCTCCTGCATTTTTTTTTGCCGTTTTCTTTCGCGTTCACGAGCAAGTCGGGCTTCACGTTGTTGGGATGTCTCACTTTCTTTGCTTTTACGCTTTCTGTGAGCCTCACGAGAAACATTATTGTTTTCCATTCTTCAGCACTATGTCAATTCTTAAGCTGAATTCCATTGGATGCACGTACGTATATACAACCTTAATTCACGTGTTTGCATTGTCATTGATTAGTTAGCGGTTAGGGTAGATGCACCTTATTATTGCATTCGTCACATATTATAGCTTATGTAAACGTAGTGTTCTGCAAAATGGATTCGAAGTTCCAGATTCGTTGACGGATCCAGATCGGATCCACTATTTTTAAGATCTGTCGAATTCGGATCCAAATAGAGATTCAGTCCGTCATTTATAAAGCATCAGGATCCGAGGATCCGTCTATTTAAACACGAATCCGAATTTTCAGATCAAATCCGGATCCTTAAAAATATCTGTCAGATCTGATCCGTGCGGAACACTATATGATTTTCATAATATTAGGTTAGGGTAGATGAATTTTTTATAATATTATGTGATTGCATTCCCTAAATTATAGTTGGAAAAAATGCGCATGATATTGCGATATAATTTGAATATAAAATATATGCCCTTCATAACGCATTCCCTGTAAGTGTTCAGTACAATAATAAATGAGCAGATGATTTTATTTTTCCCCTCTATAAGTTGCCA